TTAAGAATGTCGCGGAGAACCTAACGGGTAACCGGGGCTCCGGCTCGACGTGCAGAAGGAACGGGGTGGTTTTTAGTCAGTAAGAGTCTGACACTCCCTCCCGCCTCACCCAGGCGGGAGCAGTCATTCAATGATTTTCCCCTTTTTTTAAAAAAAAACCCCTTAAGTATAGAAATAGAATTAGCATGACTATAGGTACAGTCCGCAATAGTTCACTATGAGTTTACAGACCTCCTCTTTCCTTTCCCATAATTCTCAAAGTTGACAACAGGTCTCTCATGTGGATTTACCCAATATTTAGCTACCGTCTTATGTATTATGTGTAGGTACCGTATTATGTACGGCCCTTAGTTGCTGACAAATAAGACCTAAATAGTAGGGTTTCTTTAGCTATTGGTTAGAACAATTTTCCAAGCAAATGAAAAACAATCGATACTATTCTTAATTTATTTTGTGGGTACAACTATTTACATAAATACACACTGAATAAATATCGTACTAAATTCTAAAACTTGAGTTTGAAGTCTTTGAAGGGTGTTTTCGTCGGCTCTTCGGTCCATTTCTGACTTTTGTCATCGATCAGCATTTTGATGTATCTCCCTTGTTGATTCGATGGCAAGGTCACGTCAAGGACCTCACAATTTCTTATAATCTCTGTACAGCCTCGAATATCCCTTTACTGAAATTAAACAATTAAATTAAACCTGAGAATAAGTACTTCAATAAATAGGTAGATACCTAAGTACTTTGTCCAGACCGCTCGGTAGCTCGAGACCCCGTGGAGCAGTGAAAAAACGGAGCATAATATTACGTTCACGTAGAAATAGTTGCATTAAACCATTTAATAACAGTGGAAGTTATAATCTCCAAAGGGTCGGTGACGCACTTGTAGCGCCTCTGGTGTTCCATCTAGTCCATGGGCGACGCTGACTGTTTACAGGCGATCAGTCTGCTCGTTTCCCGGCTTTTACCATAAAAAGTATGTAGGTAATTCCTTTTTTTCTTGTACTTTTACAAGTATGAGAAAGGTTATGACTTGTGATAATAGAGGGTCAATGTACCATTTGTAATTTAATTATAATCTTCTTTTTATACCTCGAAGTTCATTACCTCTATGCTAAAACCGGAAGGTCTGTAACCATGCCGTTTCTAATTGGACATGACTAAGACACTACGGTACCTACTTTATCAGCATTTATAAGAACCGACTAAAATAAAAGTTTTAACCTGGATTGACGGTAAGCAGCATGTTTGTTACCTATTAAACTGTCAAACACCAAGCGGTCACTGGTGACCGCAACCTATTGTTCTATAGGTAATTGTGTCTATAATGACTGTACTCGACGAGTTAATTAATTTTAACTCATCACCGTCGCCTTCACCTATGAAAAAGCATCAAGCAACAAATTGCCAATATAACAACCTTTTAAACATAGGCCTAGAACTTTTACACCCTTCATTTAGCCTAGAATATTCCAAGTCGTCTGGATTACATTACCTTGCCCATAAACGAAGGTTTTAATTTGCCAAGTTGAAGGTTAGGAATTACAGATAATGATCTCCTAAGCCCTAACACATTTCAAACCCATTAAAAGCACTTTCAATTAACGTAACGTCTAAATTCATCCATTCACGTAATAGTTATCGGCCAAAATAATTACAGATCTTATCTGTAGGTCTTTTGTTAGCTGTTATGGGTGTTTCATAACAGCAAATAAGCCATTTTATCTACTGGACAAATAAAAAAGATATATTAAACATTGCAATTGGCAATTTTGTCCCTTTTTGGAAACAGAAATTATAAAGTCGAAGACAGTTTAGTCCTGGGCCGGTATATATAGGATAGTCATAGGAATGACTATACAAACTGCGATTAGCCGTCGTAGGGTGTGCAGCAGCATCTTAACTACGATTCACAAGTCAATTTGCTGAGCGCTGAGCTTGAGATTAAGGCAAGCCATTCGAAAGAGACGTTAAGCAAAAAAAGTTAACGGATTCCAGCTGATGATGAGATGAATGAACAAATATTCTGCCATTAGTTATAGGCAACGAAGTCTAACTCCAGTCGCTAGCAAGTAATGACCAAAAGTAGCATGACTGTTAGCCCTAAAGGAATTATTTCATTAGTCACTCAACATGTTCTGTGTGTAGGTATTGGTACTACGATAAGGTCGCCAAACAGATCAACTAATTGTTTAAGTTCATGAGGGCAGTTGATTAAGTACGCAAACAATCAACAACATACTGAGTGGGACAATTACTAATATTTTATGTACTTAGATGAGTTTAGATAGGCATCGTCTAGGGACATATTTGACGCATATGTTACTAACTAGCCAGTGCTGTGTTCAGAAGTCAGTAAAGGTAGTAATTAGGACTGTACTTTGAGGTTCTACGACATGTTCTACGTTCTGCAATCAAGAACAGTTCTATCGAATGAGAATAAAACAACAAAGAAGGAGCCCTAACAGGATCTGGCTACTATTCATCATGATCACTAACAACAGTTTGTAACAGCCCAATGGTGGACAGTGTGTCTCCTCTATATAAAAGAGCTGTCTAGTAATCTCCAAGCCGGCAGGCTGGAAATCACAGTTGTACAAGGATTCAGAGACAAATACGACATGTGAAAAACATTAGTGGACATAACATCACGCCTTTTATCCCCGAAGGGGTAGGCAGAGGTGCACATTACGGCACTTAATGCCACTGTACAATGTGACACCAACTTTTCACTATTTATGTTATGAGCCCCATGTAATAAGGGGTGAGACTATTGCCATATACCGGGCACAATTCCAGATTCCGTGCTACTACTGAGCATTTGCGACCACTCAGCCAACGAGGCAGTCGAATCGAAGGGCCCAATAATGCGTTTCTCGACTCGCCAAACAGAAAGTGTTGATTTTCCAATCACATATTACTCAATCAGTTATTTATAACGGTAATAAAATATCAATTGAAGTTACAGATATGGGTATTAGATTTATTACAATATCATTGTGGGACGCCTGGGCGCCTCCGCCGGGATCAGAGACCTTACGAACTGGGACACTGTGATAATAATAATAATATGCTATTGTGAGGGAAGTTAGTCTACTAGGTATTTGATTGTGTAGAAAGTGACCTATATTCATATAATTGTGGGTGGCCTCTAATATATCGTAGTTACAGGACTTTTTATCATTTAAACAGGATGTAACCTAACTATAAGAAAATTTAGATATTATTATAATAGGTGTTTTTATGTTCGATTCTCGATGGTAGCTGGGGCAAAGCGCGATGGCCAAATAAGGGGTTACGGGATCGATTCTCAGGTTGAGCAAAATATTATAGGGCCTTCACAGCATTTTAATTATGTTAGGTACTGTATTAACTAAAAGAGATGTGATTTTTTTTTAAACCTAGCCCCACACTTGTATTTTCTCCCATGTCGTTGGTGCGTTTACAAACATACAATTTCACATACACTTGACACCCAGACTTGAAACAACCATTTGTAGATACCACAAAAAGTTGTTCCATGCGGGAATCGTACCCGTTACACATATACCTCGTGTGTTCATAAGTTTTGAGACAAACTTTTTGCTTATAAAAATAAAATAAAAATTACTGGCTGCTGTATATTTCTTTTTCTAATTTTGAATTTGGAATGTTAACTTTTAATATCTATGATTTCGGATTATTTTATTTAAATTTTCTCGTAATGGAGGGAACAAAAGAATTACGTGCGACCGTCATTTCATTATTTAAGGTGGGAAGAAAACCTATGGACATTTTCCGAGAACTGAAAAGTTTTGGTGTGAGCCGTAACTTCGTGTATTACACTATTAAACGATACCAGGAGACAAGTTCTTTACATGATCGGCAAAGAAGTGGTCGTCCACGCTCTGTGAGGACGCCTGCGAACATTAAAATCATCCGAGAGCGACTTCGCCGAAATCCATGTCGCACTCAGAAGAAACTCGCTCTGCAGACCAATATTTCGCGCGTTTCAGTCAACAGAATACTGAAATATGATCTCAAGGTTAAGGCGTATAGCCGTAGAAAAGTACACTTTTTAAACGATCGCCTTCGTCAATTGCGACGCGAACGTTGTCCAATACTGCTTAGGAGACACGATGCGAGGAAGATACTCTTCACCGACGAGAAAATCTTTACCGTCGAAGAAAAGTTCAATCGACAAAACAATAAAGTGTATGCCAAAAGTAGCAAGGATGTCCCACCTTCAGCACGGAATGTCTCGCGTACTCATCATCCGGCTAGTGTCATGGTATGGTGGGGAGTTTCGTACGAAGGTGTCACTCAGCTTCATTTCTGCCAACAAGGCGTCAAGGTGAAAGCCAAAAATTATCAAAGTGACATTCTAGAGACTGTTGTGAAACCCCTGTCTAATACCCTATTCCATAACAAGTATTGGGTTTTCCAGCAAGACTCGGCGCCATCCCATAAGGCTAAAACCACCCAAGCTTGGCTGAAGGAAAATGTGCCGGCCTTCATTGCGGCGAACGAATGGCCCTCCTCCAGCCCCGACCTCAACCCGCTGGATTATTCTCTATGGACCGAATTAGAGCTCAGAGCCTGCCGAAAGTCCCACCCAAACTTGGAGTCACTTAAGCGAGCTCTTGTCCGAGAAGCGAAGCGAATTCCTCTGGAAAAGATTCGTGCCGCCATTGATGACTGGCCAAATCGTCTAAGGGCATGTATTAAAAACAGGGGTGGTCATTTTGAATAATAATTATATTTAATTTTTACTTACTATCTACTTAATGTTTGTTATTGTTTTTATAAATATAAGTTTATTATTTAAAAAGATATGCAACTTTTAATTTGTCTCAAAACTTATGAACACACGAGGTA